GACCCTAAAAAATCATATCAACTTGTGGAAAATGGGCATCTGATGACCCCTTTAAAAGTAACAAAAACACATACATATTTTACTATTTACGCAAAAAAATACTTGAAAGTACAAAATTCTAAAAGTACATAATCCATTGACAAGGCTGTCATAGGTTTTGTAACTAGTAATGTGGACACGGTGTTCTGAATTACAGCTGCTAATAATACTCACTCCTTTTTATTTCCTATAATCCGCGCAAATCATCATATACGTAAGAGAACTCCCATATTGCCACACTATGTGCATACATACATATATATATATACAGTATATACTGTAGATAGATAGATAGATAGATAGACAGACAACAGTTCTTTCTGGCCCTTGAATCTGATTGGCTGATAAGAGTGCGATATTCAAGTGATAACAGAACTCCAACTTTCACTGTTTGTATCGCTCTGCTTGCGCTATTCCTCACAGCGAGTGTCATGTCGGACACCCAAATCCACAATAATTGTATGTAACTCAATATAATCATAACAATCAATTAATTAAAGGGATAGTTCACTAAAACAGCTGACAGCAGTCATTGACTTCCATAGGATTTTCCCTTTACTTTGAAAGTCAATGGCTACTGTCAACTATTTGGTTACCAAAATTCTTCAAATAAAGAAACTCAAGCAAGCTTGGAACAACTTGAGAATGAGTCATGATGAAAATGATGACAAAATTTTCATTTTTGAGTTAACTATCCCTTTAACATATAAGACTCTTAATTAAAGCTATTAATAATACTCACTCCTAATAAACCGCACAAATTATTACCACAAAAATCAGTCTGAATGAACAATATAATAGCATTAATGGAAAGACTATTTTAAAAAAGTAAGTAAACAACTCACACAACACTTAGATATAACTACTTTGTTATGTCAAAATAAGACTTAAAATTGCATAAAAACATGATTCGTGGGTTTTTAGTTTTAAGTGAATAATCAGCTTGGAGACATTTAAAGTAAATCTCTGTGTCTATAACCAATAGGCTATTTACAGAGCTTTGATGACTGATGATCTGAAAAATTAAAAAAATATTCAAAAGTTAACTATTAAAAAGAATAACTGAACATAAGTTCACAAATAAAATATATGTGACCCTGGACCACAAAACCAATCATAAGTAGCACGGGTATATTTTTAGTAATATCCAACAATACATTGTATGGGTCAAAATTATAAATTGTTCTTTTATGCCAAAAATCATAAGGATATTAAGTAAAGATCATGTTCCATCAAGATATTTTGTAAATTTCCTACTGTAAATATATCAAAACATAATTTTTTATTAGTAATATGCATCGCTAAGAACTTAATTTGGACAACTTTAAAGGTAATTTTCTCAATATTTAGATTTTTTTTGCAACCTCAGATTCTCAAATAGTTGTATCTCAGCCATTGTCCTATCCTAACAAACCAAACATAAATGAAAAGCTTATTTATTCAGATTATATAAATCTCAATTTCAAAAAAGTTGACACTTGTGACTGGTTTTGTGGTTCAGGGTCACATATTGCTTAAATTATTACTGCCTTGAATTAATTTGGAATAAATGTAACATTTTTAGAAACTTGATACTTAATAGAATATTGATTACTTTGGTAATGTAAAAATATATATATATATATATTTTTTTTTTTCCCTTTTTCAGAGGGTGTAAGTAATGTTTACTTAACTAAGAAAAAATGTGACTGGGACAAGAATTTACATTTGATTAAAAAAAAAAAAAAACTTTGCCTCCATTTCAGAACAGAACAACGTCGCACACCACTCTTACATACACACACACACACACACACACACACACACATATATATATATATATAATATTATATTCCAGTCCTTAGTGTCACATGATCCTTCAGAAATCATTCTAACACACTGATACTCATATATGCATATATAAATATAAATACTGCTCTCTACATTTCTTGATGAAACCTTATTTAAGCTCTCACATGCTCTTCATGATGTTTGTATGAAATGTCTCACCATCACATGTGCGACAGCACTCTTGAATTACAGGGTGAGAGCAGACAGCAGAGGGGCAGGGCCTGCGATGGCAGCTCACCTCCCCATTGGTGCAGAAGCATGACTGACAGCTGTCAACGGGATGATGGAACTGCTGCAAGTGACTGTAACGCTGTCTTTCAAAAATGCAGTCAGCAGGGGCTTCTGTAAGTAATTAGATTTGACATCTAAATACACTCAAACAATAGGAAGGTGTAATGATGCTTCACACCATGGTGAAATTACAGTAATAGCATGTGAACAGTTTCGAGTACAATCTCCAAATGGTCATTATGTAAAAATAGTAATTTAGACATGAATTGCTACAGTATAAGAGCAGCAGTGTTACCTGGACACTGGGGGCAGCACTCTCCTGATGGAACGAACGCACCAGCACAATTTGCCACCTGACATTGCTTCCTCAGACACTGGACGTTACCATTCTACAGACAAACACACAGACACATGACACAGATGTACAGTATGACTCTGATGTGTGTGGATGCACACTACCGTTCAAAGGTTGGGGTCAGTGTGATTTTTCTTTGAAAGAAATTAATACTTTTATTCATGAAGGATTCATTGAATTGATCAAAAGTGACAGAACAGATACAGGTGCATCTCAATAAATTAGAATTTCGTGGA